GCTCCCGACGCACACACGCGCAAGCGCAACCGGGTTGCTTATTCGCGCGTCCAGCGTATCTTCTAGCTTCCTGCCTCAACCCTCCATCATGCCCTTGCACCGACACGGCGCAGTCTGGCGGACACTTCGAACATCGTTCTGAGATTACCGAGCTGAGGTAGAGCGCACCCTTAATCTCCTTTTCCCTAACACTATAGTCTTGATTTACACACACATGTTGTCGTGTTCACAAGAATCGCTGTCAGGTTGATCGGACAACGTGACGAGGAACATAGATTTGTACAATGTGTGAAAATACTTGAATAATCAAGTTAAAAACTAAAAAAATATTATTTCTTTTATTATTTTAGAGTCTAACTTTTTTCCCAACAGTAGAAATTTGATCATATCCCCTAAAAAGGTGGAGGCATTTGTAAAAGAGGCAGTAGGGCTGTAATTTAAATTAATATTATTAATTTTTCTCCTCCCTGTTTACAACTTCTGATTGTTTTTTACCTAAAATATTTATATTATAATTACTTATTCAATAAAATGGCAGATTTATATTTCTAAACTTCAGTCAATGATAGAAATATATCTGTCCATACAGTGTGTATTTCCTATCCTGTCTACTATGTATTCAGTTATTGTTTTAGATGAGGACAAAGATGACTCTGTCCATACCAAGACAGCAACTACTTCTCAGATAGATGTTCCTTCCAGTGATTCAGAAACCCAAGGTATAGTATGTTTGTTCCCAAATATCATCTATGTGAAGCATTTTGTGTTACAGTTTTTGGGTGTAGTCAGATATTTAAAAGCCTATTTAAGTTTGGTTTTAGCAAATGTACTTAAAGCTATTACTATATTCTACGTGGTATGATCAACACCTAGGATAACTCTACTTTTCATTTTAGGGTCGGTTCTTTGAAGACAAAAACTTTGGAAGTATAAAGTGTTAGATTTGCACATATTCATGTGTCTTCTGTAGAAATGAAAATCTTCGTAGATATTATCTTACTTTATTGAAATTTGACTTAGACGTATAAACCAACATTTGTTTGAATAAGTAACCAGATCAATGTGTTCTGACAATGGGGCTTTGTGCTCTGAAATCAATCTTTTACCTTAAAAACCAGCTAAAAAAAATGAAAATTTCATAAAATACATTTTAAATCTATCTATACCTATTGGTTACTAAGATATATGTATAAAACTGCTTAGTATAAATAAAACATTGTCTCCTATGTAATCCTTCTTCAGCATAAATAATTTGTGTTGAATCATTTTATATATCTATTGTGTGATTATATTAGATCAAAACAAAATAAATTTATCTTTGAAACAGCAAACCTAAGTGCTTATTGAACTAATGTTGCTTATACTGGAATGAAATCTAAACACAAACTTAAATTTCCATTTATTATAAACCTCTGTAAAAAGAATACAAAAAGCAACTAGCAATTTGATTTTTTGCAGCAGTAGGATATACTTCAATCCTATTGCAGCATTTCTTTTATGCAATAAAATATTTATGACTTGGAATAATTTATAGTTTAGTTTATTACTACAGGTAAAATATATTTTTTACATGAAATAATTTAAATAGATTAATTATGTGAAACATTCTGTTACAACGAAATAATTTTTTTCTTTACTAGGACACAAAGGCTCTAAAATACCAGATGTCCACAAAGTCTTGGTCTGATTTAATAGCTTTGCTGTACAAAAACCATTAGAGCCACACTTAACTTATATGCCTTGTTTTGAAGGGAATTTAATCAAGTTTTATTCAATAAAATTGGTAATACCTAAACACAGCTGATTGACAACAATACAATCATGATTCAATATAATAACAAATCAGAAATGGTGAGTTTACAAGAGAAATCACAGTTTGTGTTGTTGTTTCACGAAACCCAATCCCCTATAGCAGTTCAACGACTATCCATGTAAGTGGGAAGGTTGACAGACACAATAATTGAAAAATTTGGTGGAGTTAAAATCCCAGGACCGTGATTTAAAATGAAAGGGCCAGTCCAAAACTACATCTTTGGTGCGGTGTAATGCATGATGGAATCATTGGATAATTTTTCTTTGTTGAAGAAAATGTAAATGGGTTTGTTTACTTGGTTATGTTGGAGTTGTATGTCAATTATAAGAACTGCAACTTATGATAATTTTCCAGCAAGAAGGTGCTCCACCTCATTGGGCTAAATCCGTGAGGGATTTTTTTAAATCTTCACTTCCCCGGTCGCTGGATCGGGCGTGATTGCCCGACCAAATGGCCACCTCGTTCCCACCATGTAACCCCCACGGGTTTCTTTTTGTGGGTATTTGTCCAGGACATTGTCTATTTTTCCCTGGTTCATAATTTACACACTCTTGCGGGAGCGATTCAGGAATTCTGTGGCGTCTGTAACCTTGGATATGCTGACTAAAAACCTGGGACAAACTGAAAAGACGTCTAGAAGATCTTCAGGCCACTGGAGGCGCACACGTAGAGTTGTGTTACGTTTGTACATAGTTATAAAATCTTAAGAAGTTACCTGTTATATCTGTAAATAAATCTTTATCCTACTATCACTCGTTTTCATACTATGCGGTTTCCTTATCAGACCAAGACTTTGTGGACGTATTAATCTGTTTTAGTTTGGCTTTTACTATAAATTTGCTTTATGTTTGTTTTTTCTTTTTTTTTCTTTTTTTTTCTTAAAAGGTACCTACACAAAATTTTCTTCAAAACACCAGAGGACATAATACACTGATAAGCAATCAGTCCACATTAAACCTCCGGTTATTTATTTATGGTACAAGAAATATAACATTCAACAAAAACCAACTCAGTTTAATGACAATTAAACAAACAATATAATATAAACATTACTTTGTTTTTAAAACTGTTTGTCTTTTAATACAGACACTCGAAGAGAATCAAACTGCCATCAAGTTGCCTCTTTACTGTGGAAGGATTTGAAAGATGCGTACACTAACCTGTATGTCCTCAAGTTTTGTATCTGGGTGGCGCTAGCGACGTGTGGTTACAATCAGGTATTACCAGTTTAGTTATATTCTAAAATGTCAATTGGTCATACACATTAAAATTGTGGGCTATAACTGGAACAGTAAATCAAATAACTTTGAACTTTGATTTTACAGTTTGGACTTTGTAATAAAAGTAGGGAGACATAAAATAATGAGAAATATGTAAAAAGTCTAGATTTTATTTTAAATTTGGAATTTGATTTTCTATTGACACCCAAAATGAAGCAATCTTTCGAAAAACCAATGAAATAAAAAATATTGCCTTGTAAAGTTGAATAAATAAGTGTTTGCAGTTAAGGCAAATGTAAATGCAGCCCAACATATAATTCATTATTTAAATAATAATTTAAGATCAAATTAACTTAAGGTGCTTTAGCATGATTATCATTTGAAGCATATTTTAAGATCTGAGAAAATTAGCCAGAGGAATATATTTATTTAGTTAAGAGGCAAACCTTTGCTTTGCCAATCAACCCAAAATCTTGCAATTTTGTTGACTAATATTTTTATTGACTGTTAAATAGTAAGCTTTTGGGGTTTACATAAAAAAATAATACAATAAAAACCATACATCTTTTTTAATCTTTGGCATATTATGTTTACCTGAATTTCATGTTTCAATTGCTAATTTTGACACAAAATTACCTGGAGTTAAAGCCTAACTGTATAAGTTTAAACAAAAATATCACGAGTGCTAGTAAAAACGTTTTTTTAAATTTTGAGTGTTTTATTTTGATTTACATTTTTACTTTATGCTAATCAAGCTAACTAAGTCTAGTGTTTTATTACGTTTTCATTAGTAATTATTCACTTTTTCGGTTTTGTTGAATTTTTAGATATTTTGACCTGTTTTTTAGTATTTTATTTTTAGTTAAAGCTTGTTTTTGGGTTTTTGTTTCCAATATGAAGATGATGACATATGTTCAAATTCTTTGGGTTAAAATTGGAGGAAAACAACAAGTTGCTTACAATGGGGCAGTGGAAGCGGTTTACACGATTATTAGTAAGTTATTTGAATTTTTCTAGTTGTTTAAGTTTTATATTTCATAGTAATCTGTTGAAATATTTAAAATATTTCAGTCATACTGTAGTTTGCACTTAGATAAAAACTTATGATTAACTAAAGACGAGAATCAATGGGTCATCCACCATAAGGCTTTTATATTCATCAAACTTTCTAATAAAAAAATAAACCCCCTATTCCCGGTGAGTAGAGTCTGCTCGTCGTGTGTGGTGCTCATCTGCCTTCTATATTCCTACTATTAACATAGCATTGTATGCCAGTGTCTTAATACGTACTGATGATGATTTGAGTGCCCAATTGATCATCACTTACACTTATTTATGTCATAGTCATAGTTATAGTCAAATTTATTTATTTATCTTGTATATACATACATAAATAGTGTCACAGTAAAGTAAAATAATTATAATCTTATGGTAAACTACATCAAAGCTCTCTCAAAGCTATTTAAAAATTAATTGAAATAATCCATTAATCAACTTACTAGATTTAACTTAGTGAAAAAAATAACAATACTTAAAAATTTGTATATGCTAAGTTAAATTACATGAAGTATATACATTTACATATATACCTCTGAACATCTCAAATAATCAACTAGAATCGAAAAATTCTTCCTTTGAATAACAGCTTTTTTTTAACAAATAATTTTTAACCAGATATTTAAAGTTTTGGTTATTAATTTTGCTTTTTAAATTTTCAGACAAATGATTTAAACATTTAGAGCCAAAATGAGTAGCTTTTTTATTAAAAAAACTACCTAAGTCTATGTTGGGTTAAGTTTAAATTGTTCTTATGTCTAGTATTATGAGAATGTATACTACTGCGCAGATCTAATTCATTTGTATCATGAGTATCATTAGTATCATGAGTATCATTAGGATACTCAGGGGATATTAGGATATTCATTTATTCATCACTTTCTTATAGTGAACAGTATATGTTTAAAGTACTTATAGTAATTTTTTTATTTAAATTCCCATAAGCTTGTTTTGCTGAGATTATAAGATAGAGGTTATCCTCCTAGCACATTATTATCTCTGATCTCTTAAAATCCTCTTGCAGTTTGTCAATTGTTAATATATTATTATTTTAAGCTATGAGCCATTCTTTCAGTAGGGACAACAGCTCTAGGAACTTGAGGAGATTTAATGGGATCAGGGCTTATAGCTCCTCTATCAAGACTCTTCCGATTGTGACCGTGGAGTTCGCTTTATATCACATAGCTTTAAGATGAAACATTTGTCATGCACAATAAATGTATCCATTATAATGACACCTGGGCTTTCAGGTACTGCCACCTTCCCATACTTATTAGTTTATGCTGTTTTGTGAAATTGTAGTTATCGCTAAAAAAGAATAATGAAAATAATAGGAAACTATTGCAAAACTTAACACTATGATTAAGATTTGCAACAGTCACTAAGTAAAATGCCATAATGTTAACCCATTGGGGAAGGAATTAATGCGCTACCTGCAGCACCCTCTGGCGGCAATTAATTTTACCGAATTTGTAGACTTTTACTCTAACTGCTATAGAAAAAAAACCTTAGGTAATAAATTAATAATTCTTTCACCATTTTGTTCACAGTTAAATCGTCTACAGAAAAGTGGTAATTGGATAGTCAAAGTTCTAAACTAAAAAAAATATAAATATAAAGATTATAAAAATAAAATTTTAAAAACAATATTTTGAAAGTAAACTTGATATACAAATTCCAAGATTAATCCAGACACCAAATAACACTACTATTATAAAGTTCAATCGATTCCCTACGTAGAAAAATCAAAAGTTGTGTACTTTTATAAGTAATAACATTTTTTTTATTGTTTGTTTACCTTACCGCAGCTGATTTTTGGTGATATGTGGTTTCCATGGCAACACAAAATTGTTTGTTATTCGCTAAAATAAATGAGTAAATACGCAAATCAAGAAGCAAGATATTTATAAACATTATAATAGTAAGAAGAAACAAAAAGGGCGAAAAATAATAATAACTAAATAACTAATGGCGCTGCCTAGCGGTGACACGAGCGGCACTCGTAAGTCGGCCGCCGGGCCTGCAGCGGCCGTACGAGTAACGCTCGTACGTCGGCGCCAATGGGTTAACAATATTTAACAGAATCATGAGATATCAATAGATTTCAATTTGTTAAAAAAACAAGTATGGAAAGAAACTTGCAAGTCAACTTTCAGCTCCTTATTAGAATGTTGAACTTTTGCAAACATCTTCTTTCACCCTGGTTTTGGAGAAAGAGTAGTAGTCGTAGGGGGGGGGGGGGGGGGGGGGTTCACTGTAACTTTATTAATGCAATACAATATACCATATACAAAATCATTAACAGGGTAACTCTATTTACTTAATTTACTGACCTACACAAAAACACACAACATCTGAAACTAAACACTACTGTCTATTGCTAACTGTGGATGGACGGAGGTGGGTCACGGCAAGCAATGCCTGTCGTGGTTTGCGGTTGGGTGGGCGTGTTAGGGACTATTGATCAGGGAGATTGGTGAACCTAACCTAACCTAACCGATTAGGACGGCCCGTTCTACCTGAGGAGGTGTCTCTCTACGTTCTGTGCCAACTATATGTAATGCTTTATAATCGGCCCTTCCCACAAGAATCAAATCGTATTTAATTTATTTTTTATGCATCACACACCCATAGAAATGTTTGTTCTTTGTTTTAGATCTTATTTGCTCATGATTGATGGTCATTTGCAGGTGCTGTGTCAACTCTAGCATTTGGTCAGCTGAATGCCAACTGGTCCAAATATGGAGAGGCCTTTCTTGGCCTGTTGACTATACTGCAAGGAGTGGTTCTGGCGATCAGTGCAAATACTGACTCTATGTTTGTGGCATATACTGCTTATATCATATTCGGGATGCTCTACAACATAATGCTAGTTATGACTAAGTAAGTATGAGTAGATATTAAGATTTCTAACCCGGAACTACACATTACTTCAGGCTAGTCCTAGTGGGTTGCGGCATTATCACATGGATAAAATCCATTGGTGAACGGCGGAGGACCTCGGATACCGAAACCCCGCGCTCTACTACTAGACCAGCTCGCTCCCCCTGTAGCAGGACTCTCAGCTTACCATTTACTAGTGTGATATAACTGACTCTTTAATTGTAAATAATTTCATGCCCATATGTAGGGAAATTGTAGATTTACATTTGTCTGGATTCATGAAAAATTTAGTCTACTGAACCATAAAATCAATTGGAAAATTAGCTAGGCAACAGGAACTATCCACCGTGGCACGATTAATTGGTTTGGCTTGGCCAACAATATGTAATGGAGTAGACAACCACATGGATCTCAAGCAGTTCAGAAAACAAGGTTATCCGAAACGGTTTTTACCCTTTATTTCGGTTATTAGGGGTTTTAATTTACATGGTTTTAATAAACTCAGTGAAAAATAATATTGAATATGTTAAGATCATAATATAAATACCCCCACCGCAGCAAACTTCAAGACTAAGGGCATTTCCACTTACAATAATAGAACACCTTATATCTGACCATGACAAGGCCAGAGCCTTCCTCGGAACTCTGCAAGCTAGAAATAAGAATGTAAATATTTATTTAGTTTTTGTATTCGTAAAAAATTTTAACTTTTATGATGAAATTAAACTTCAACTCAACTCATTCAACATACATAATATTTATGTATTATTCCTATTATAAATTTTGTAAAGATTACAAAAATGACATTTTAATTTTAACAATACTTGTCATTCTACATGAATTAACCTCGGTTATTCAAATGAACGCTAAATAAATAGTTCAGCTAAAACCAACTTTTTTACGTTTTGTCGCTACAGAGAGTGTCTCAATTAACCGAGGTTGTTGGGACTGAGACTACCTCGGTTACAGAGCATCTCAGATAACACGGAGGTCTCTTAGATTTTGAGGTTAGGGGTTATAGTACCACATTAGAAAGTCAAAGACTAATTATGTTTTAATAACAATGCATAGTGAACACAAAATGATAAATAATTGCTATTTTCACGGAAAATGTTTTTAAATAAGGCAGTGTTATTAAGAAAAACCATAACTCAATCATGCTTAAAACACTTCTTAAATTGTCTTGGTAAACTTAAAATAAGATAGAGAGGTTAAGGTTAAGAGGTTATTAAGAATAGAGGTTAATTGGATTTACGGGGTAGCGGATTTTTACCCCTGAAATTTTACCCCCCAGATTTTTACCCCCTGATTTTCACCCCCAGATTTTTACCCGCGGAATTTTACCCCCCGGATTTTTACCCCCGGAATTTTACTCCCTGGCCAGATATATAAATTAGTGAGAATGATTAATTATCTTCATTCTGTTTTAATTTAATAGTAAACATTTTGTTATGAAGTAGCCTATATTAATTTATTTGTAACATTAACTAAATCGAACAGGTTTTAAATTTTAATTTTGAGATTCTAGTATTAGGATTCGATCTTTGAAGCCAACAGTTGGTTTTAATATGACGTATAAACAATCAACTGAGTGATAATTGTTTAGAAAATTTCTTTACAAAAAAATAAAATAAATAAATATAGGCTACTAAATAATGAAATGTTTTACAATTAATTAAAAACAGAAATAAGAAAATCAATCATTCAATTTCTAAAATCGGCCAGGGGGTAAAATTCCGGGAGTAAAAATCCGGCCCGTACATCTTCAGTTGTCTAAATGCTAGTTATATGGACAGGGGGTAAAATTCCGGTTTTTATCGCTAATCTTATTAATCACGCTCTGGCTATTTTCATTGGACTTCCAAATCCGCGGGGGTAAAATTCCGGCCGCGAACAAACTTTTGGCCACTCTGGTTACTACGTCATAGTGACGTCAGCTTTGCCCAGGGGGTAAAATTCCAGGGGGATAAAATTCCGGTGATCCTAGATGTATAAAAAATAGATATCAATACATCTTACAATACTATAAATTGTAACTAGACATTTTAATTTTTTATTTTTTCCGTTACTAAGATGTTCAATTTCTCTAATTCTGAAGACTTTAAATTTTGTACAAAGTTTTATTTACTTGACTCAGTATGATATAAATTTACCATAGCTTTGATCTTATTTTAAAAATTGTCATTAGAATGCTGGGTTGAAACCTCTTAATTTTGCCCTGTTGGAGAGTTTGATAAGTTTCTTGTCAGATTCAAAAGTAGAAGTAGAGTATTTCACTTGTATAGTGTTAGATAGTACTTTGTCTTCCTTTTTTTAAAACTGTAATAGTGATAAGTGGCAATTTCATTAAGTAGCAATTTTCTACCTATGTGGTAGTTTTATGTAACAAATTGTTTATCTAAATATGTGTAAAATTTTCTATATAAAAAAAAATACTGCCCAAGCTTTTAAGTTAGAAAATTTGTTTAAAACATAGGTTTGGCGTTTGTTCGGTTGTAAATTTAAAATTACAATACAAAATTAATGTCGCTGATTGTCAAAGGATTTTGAATGAAATATGTTAAGCATTTTAACATAGGATTATTTAAATGGGTTTTTTTATTTTTATGCTCTATAATTTCCAATTGAAACTGTCCAGTTGCTCTTTGCACATTTCCTAATGCAAAGCCTATGGTTTTTGTGAGCGTTTTTGGTGCTTTATATCAGTTCTCCAATATTGCATCTACGGCTTAAACTTATGAATGTCATCTTATTGTAAAGTACTAGCTGATAAATTTAACAGGAACTGTTTGCACCTTAAAGCTTCATAACAAAACATCATCACAGTAAGAGAATCATTGTAACAAAGAATGACCACACAATCATCAATGTCAGAGATTTGCAGTGTTGTAAGATACTGACTAGGGTGACCCAAAACAGATAACACCAAGTGCATATTTAATGAGCGTTTTTTTCTTGTTAAGTAACTAATGTTAATCGAAGAAAAGGCAATTCCAAGAAAAAGTAAATTATTGTTATTGTTAATAGATATATTAAAATTACAATAAATTAACATTAATTACATTAATAACATTTAACATTAAAACCTCAAGGAACAAAAAACATTTTCTAAAAAACTTTAAGAAATGGTTGTTTGAAATTGATGAAGTTGACTTAATAATAAATATTTAGGCATAATTTAGTTCTTTTGTGTATTATAGAAATTCCTTTTTTGTTTATATGTACAGTTAATACAATATCAGTTTCATATTTTCCAGGTAAATTCAAACATCTTAAAAAAAAAATTGTGAACTAGACTACTATTTCATTTTGTTAAGTAAATTAAATATAGTAGAGTAAGTTTAAGATTTTACTGGTTGTGAAAACTGAACAGATGTTTTGTTTATTTTTAAACTTTTCACTTTCTTTGTACCCTTTCAAGTGAATTGAAGATCGAGAATAGAAAAAGTTGAAATTTGTGAAAATTATTATACCTAGGAAGATGGAGACGTATCAAGAAAAATGAACAAATTTCTAAGCAGGAATGATACAAAGGAAGATGTTGGGATGTTCAAGAGGGGACGATTCATGGGAATATTAAATAGCATGTATTCTCCCAAGAGTCGTCGCCTCTTGAATGCCCCTTTCACTACACAAGATAATCTTCGTTGTCTTGGATTGTTGGGCAGTAAACTATGTTTTCCTCCTTTTCTCACTGACATAGGTGTCATAGTTCTTCAATTGATGTCTATAAATTAGTACTTAGTTTGCCAAAAAGTTTTGAGATTTTTTTTATAATTTGTTAATATCTCAATCAGAGTCTATAGTATTCAAACATTTTTTGTATCAATGTTGAAAAATATAGTATAAGTTTTTGGGTTAAACAGGTTTTAATTAGTCAGTATTATTCTTTAACTAAGCCTAGCACAAATTTTAGCTCCAATATTGTAAAAGCATGCTAACAAAGAGGAGGTGAATAATGTGACTTAGAATTTAAAGATGAAACTGATATTAGCAACCATGAAAATAATGTTGATGACACTTCTGCCAAGAAGAAGGCTATTAAGAGTTAATAAAAAACATAATAAATAAGAAGAGTAAACAGTTAATTTATACTAAAACACATTTTTTACTAAGTCTTTTATTTTTATCGGGCCTTGGTTATTTAATAAACTGGCAGATAACATTAAAACCTCAAGGAACAAAAAACATTTTCTAAAAAACTTTAAGAAATGGTTGTTTGAAATTGATGAAGTTGACTTAAAATTAAATATTTAGGCATAATTTAGTTCTTTTGTGTATTATAGAAATTCGTTTTTTGTTTATATGTACAGTTAATACTTAATAGAATATCAGTTTCATATTTTCCAAGTAAATTCAAACATCTTAAACAAAACCAAAAAATTGGTGAACTAGGCTACCATTTGATTTTGTTAAGTAAATTAAATATAGTAGAGTAGGTTTAAGATTTTACTGATTGTGAAAAATGAACAGATGTTTTGTTTATTTTTAAACTTTTCACTTTCTTTGTACCCTTTTAAGTGAATTGCAGATCGAGAATGGAAAAAGTTGAAATTTGTGAAAATTATTATACCTAGGAAGATGGAGACGTATCAAGAAAAATGAACAAATTTCTAAGCAGGAATGATACAAAGGAAGATGTTGGGATGTTCAAGAGGGGACGATTCATGGGAATATTAAATAGCATGTATTCTCCCAAGAGTCGTCGCCTCTTGAATGCCCCTTTCACTACACAAGATAATCTTCGTTGTCTTGGATTGTTGGGCAGTAAACTATGTTTTCCTCCTTTTCTCACTGACATAGGTGTCATAGTTCTTCAATTGATGTCTATAAATTAGTACTTAGTTTGCCAAAAAGTTTTGAGATTTTTTTTATAATTTGTTAATATCTCAATCAGAGTCTATAGTATTCAAACATTTTTTGTATCAATGTTGAAAAATATAGTATAAGTTTTTGGGTTAAACAGGTTTTAATTAGTCAGTATTATTCTTTAACTAAGC